TGCTTCCACCTTCCAGTTCCAGCTTCTCAGTGTGGTTATCCAGAGAAGGAACACCTCAGCTTACGTTCAGCCGTTACTGTTTTGATAAGAAACTGGTTCATATATATCTCTCTGGATGAAAAATTACATTCTGTACCCTCCATCTATTATATTTTATACTTTACTTCAGTAATATTTTACTGTGGATTACAGTAATATGTCAGTGTATGTACACTGAGATATACTACACTTCTCAGTGTATGTACACTGAGATATACTACACCTCTCGGTGTATGTATCCTGTATATAAGTAATTTATTTTAATTATTTGAAACCCTGATAATCAAGTCTTAATAGTCGTAACTGAAAACAATAATTGCCTATGAGAATTATACTAAGCTGCAATAATCGAAATCCCTGAATAGTTCTAATTATACATGTCATAGGGGTGACCCGGTGGTCTGGTGGCTAAAGCTCCCGCTTCACACACGGAGGGCCCGGGTTCGATTCCCGGCGGGTGGAAACATTTGACACGTTTCCTTACACCTGTTGTCCTGTTCACCTAGCAGCAAATAGGTACCTGGGTGTTAGTCGACTGGTGTGGGTCGCATCCTGGGGGACAAGATTAAGGACCCCAATGGAAATAAGTTAAGACAGTCCTCGATGACGCACTGACTTTCTTGGGTTATCCTGGGTGTATTGAGGGATGTTCTCTCCTACACGTATACAACATAATGTCTCTGTTATGAGGATTATAACAGCTGCGAGTGCAATACTTACAGTACATGTATTTCAACCATTCTACAGTCTCTCAAATACATAAATTATTATCCATCTATTGACGATACTTCAATAACAAGTCTCCTGATTGGAAAAGCAAATTTATCATGGATTTGCATGGCCTGTGATTGCAAAATTTGCGAGAGACAAGAGTTCAAAATGTATTTAGAATGTCAAGGCTGAACGTTGTGTGTATTTTGTGTATTTGTTCCAGAGGACAAAAAAAATATATAATGGTTAATGATGACAGTCAGGTGTGAGAGGGAATGTTTGTTGATGTTTGTTGATGTTTGTTGACACAGAAATGTGGAAAAGTTGAACGTTTGATGTGAGGGAACCAGAGAGAGTGGAGGCGCACGCACACACACACACACACACACACACACACATACACACACACACACACACACACACACCACACACACACACACACACACACACACACACACACACACGCACACACACACTTTGTTTATTTTATATAATAATTATTATTATTATTTCGTGGGGAAGCGCTGAACCCATAGGGGTCATACAGCACCTGGAGAAATGGGTTTGGTGCAAGTAAGGGGAAAGGAATAAGTCTATTTCCTTGGATCAAGAGCCCCTTATCGGCATCAAGGAACCTTTAACGACCTCACCCTAACAGGAGAAAGAGGAGGAGGAGAAAGGGAGGAGGAAGAGATTAAAGAATGAGAGAAAAGTGAAAGAGGGACATGAGGACTTCAGAAGAGGACCCTCTCTTGGAATGAAGAGGAAGATTATTAGAAGGAAGAAGAGGGAGAAAGACGAGGAAAAGCTGTCAGAATGAAGAGGAGAAAGGAGGAAGAGGAAGAGGAAAAGGTCTCACAAATAAAATGAGTCTGAAGAAGACGTCTTCATGTTGAAAGAGCGAGGTTAAAGCCTCCACCAGGAGGTTGGTCACACCAAGTTCTCACCCCAGACCAGTTTGTTGAGTTGTGAGTCGAGACCAGGACCACTTAGAACACTAAGTTCTCACCCCAGACCAGTTTGTTGAGTTGTGAGTCGAGACCAGGACCACTTAGAACACTAAGTTCTCACCCCAGACCAGTTTGTTGAGTTGTGAGTCGAGACCAGGACCACTTAGAACACTAAGTTCTCACCCCAGACCAGTTTGTTGAGTTGTGAGTCGAGACCAGGACCACTTAGAACACTAAGTTCTCACCCCAGACCAGTTTGTTGAGTTGTGAGTCAAGACCAGGACCACTTAGAACACTAAGTTCTCACCCCAGACCAGTTTGTTGAGTTGTGAGTCGAGACCAGGACCACTTAGAACACTAAGTTCTCACCCCAGACCAGTTTGTTGAGTTGTGAGTCGAGACCAGGACCACTTAGAACACTAAGTTCTCACCCCAGACCAGTTTGTTGAGTTGTGAGTCGAGACCAGGACCACTTAGAACACTAAGTTCTCACCCCAGACCAGTTTGTTGAGTTGTGAGTCGAGACCAGGACCACTTAGAATACTGCACTGAACACACCACCTATCCATCACTGTAACTCACTGCTACACCACTCTCACATCATGATGCAATACATGACGGATGGCACCATCATTACAGAGATCCATCCTCAGCCATAGGGAGTGAATCACAGGGACCCTGTCATAGGAATATTAACAGTAACAGATATTACAAGGATACCAGTAGAAATAAGTCACTTCGTTTGATTTTTTTGGGTTATCCTGGTGGGTAATTTACCTATATATGATCATTGTACTTTTGTGTACCTGTGCCTAAATAAACTTATTTCCATTGATTCATGATCCATTTTTCCCCAGGAACCAGTGAAGGGTTATTAAATTTATTGTATCAATCGCATCTGCTAGAAAAATGACAGGATGGATAATGAGAACCTTCAAAACTAGGGATGCCAAGCCCATGATGACACTCTTCAGGTCGCTTGTTCTATCTAGGCTGGAATATTGCTGCACACTAACAGCACCTTTCAAGGCAGGTGAAATTGCTGACCTAGAAAATGTACAGAGAACCTTCACGGCGCGCATAACGGAGATAAAACACCTCAATTACTGGGAGCGCTTGAGGTTTCTAAACCTGTATTCCCTGGAACGCAGGTGGGAGAGATACATGATTATATACACCTGGAAAATCCTAGAGGGACTAGTACCGAACTTGCACACGAAAATCACTCACAACGAAAGCGAAAGACTTGGCAGACGATGCAACATCCCCCAATGAAAAGCAGGGGTGTCACTAGCACGTTAAGAGACCATACAATAAGTGTCAGGGGCCCGAGACTGTTCAACTGCCTCCCAGCATACATAAGGGGGATTACCAATAGACCCCTGGCAGTCTTCAAGCTGGCACTGGACAAGCACCTAAAGTCGGTACCTGACCAGCCGGGCTGTGGCTCGTACGTTGGTTTGCGTGCAGCCAGCAGTAACAGCCTGGTTGATCAGGTTCTGATCCACCAGGCTGTATAGCCCTTGTGGCTTAGCGCTTCTGTTTGATTATAATAATGATAATAATTTGATCCACCAGGAGGCCTGGTCACAGACCGGGCCGCGAGGGCGTTGACCCCCGGAACTCTCTCCAGGTAAACTCCATGTACACATAAATATAATTATCATACCTAGTAACATATGTACAAGTTATTTAGGAGAAACCTAAAAAAAAGTCAGTGATTTATTTCCATTGCGGGAGGTCCCAAGTTATCATCTGTTACTGTTCCATTGCTCCATCAGTGGGACTTCTGTACCACCCTTGGTGGAGTGTAGACATCTTGTCTACCATATTTTTTTTTTTTAAAGGTGGACCGGTTAACCAGTGGAAGGCCTCGGTCAGATGACCAGAAGTTCCAGCTGTGGGTAATCATATGACTAGGACCAGCGTCAGGAAACACTTGCCCTGTTTTCTGACAAACTTTACCTACCTAACGATGCCCTGAGCAAATTTGTGCAATATCTTAATTATGCACCCAAAACCCATCCTGTGGGCAGCAGTCGAGTGCCCTGGGCATCACTAACTAATCTGTCCACATTCTCTCTCTGGGACACTGATCTTGCCTCTGAGATGTTATATATTCATTGGACCTTCAGTTTATTGCATGGCCTGTGCACTAATACTGAAATTTAGATTGGTATCTATATTTGTATTTAACCAACTTAAATAACTTTCATAATTGTTATAGCCAATTAGATTAGATTTTGCCACCGAAGTGGCTAGTTTATTGTGCACCCCATATCCATCCTGTGGACGGTAGCGCGAGAGCATATGGATACACAAAAGGCCTAGGAACTAGGCCCCAAAGGGTTAACAGGAATACATATGGATTTAAATCTACATATCTATAGTTCACTTGTCTGTTACAAGCAAATTTAGGAAATTTGCTTAGTATATCTGGTATCTTATTTTCATTAATAAGATATCTTGACATGTCACATAGGTTATTATACTGTCTGTCTCTGTATTCCTCAATAAGTGGACAATTAAGCACATAGTGTTCAAGAGAGTGACCATATGCCTGATCACATAATTTACATTTAGTTTGATCATCATCTGTGTGTCTCCCAAACTGCCAGAAGTACTTGTAACCAAGCCTAGTACTTATAGTCAATTATCTTACTAAAACTCCCAACAAATTGATCTAGCAAAAATTTAAGGATGGCCGAAATGTGCTGCATAACCAGGGGTTTTCTTTAAAGTATATCAGTAATATCACCTTTTCTGTACCAACTGTATAGTATTCTTTACAGAAATAAAGTTATTTTTAATTTGATTAAACACTGCCTATTGTATGTGTATTTTGGTGTGGGTCGACACACACACCGCCTCTCTGAGGTTTTTTAAAGCCTCGGGAGGAACCGGTTACTGACTCAGTAAAGTTTAGCAGTGTGGTTCTGCTGGGGGTTCACTCCTAAGTAATTAAGTTTATTTAGGCACAGGTACACATAAGTACAATTATCGTACATAATGTAAATTACCTAAGATAACCCAGGAAGGTCAGAAAGTGGCTTAATTTTATTGGTGTCCTTTTAATATCTTATTTAAACCTTAAAATTTTAAACATAACCATTAACAAGCCTTTAGTAAAGCAATGGTAACCCTTAAGCCTTAATAAAGTCATGGAAACCCTTAAGCCTTAATAAAGCCCTGGTAACCCTTAACAAGCCTTAATGAAGCCCTGGTAACCTTTAACAAGCCTTAATAAAGCTCTGGTAACCCTTAACAAGCCTTAATAAAGCCATGGTAACCATTAACAAGCCTTAATAAAGTCTGGTAACCCTTAGCAAGCCATAATAAGCCTTAGTAGCCCTTAACAATCTCACACAACAGTGGACGTGTACTACACAAGTACAGATAACAAGTGTTTTCTCCTGTGATATTTACACTTTTCTGGAGGTATTAACCTGAGATAAAGTTGTAATATTGTGTTTGTGTAGTATTGCTGTGCTATGTAAGTGTACCTCTGTTGTGTACCTCTGTTGTGTACCTCTGTTGTGTACCTCTGTTGTGTACCTGTTGTGTACCTCTGTTGTGTACCTCTGTTGTGTACCTCTGTTGTGTACCTCTGTTGTGTACCTCTGTTGTGCACCTCTGTTGTGTACCTCTGTTGTGTACCTCTGTTGTGTACCTCTGTTGTGTACCTGTTGTGTACCTCTGTTGTGTACCTCTGTTGTGCACCTCTGTTGTGTACCTCTGTTGTGCACCTCTGTTGTGTACCTCTGTTGTGTACCTCTGTTGTGTACCTCTGTTGTGTACCTCTGTTGTGTACCTCTGTTGTGTACCTCTGTTGTGTACCTCTGTTGTGCACCTCTGTTTGTGTACCTCTGTTGTGCACTCTGTTGTGTACCTCTGTTGTGTACCTCTGTTGTGCACCTCTGTTGTGTACCTCTGTTGTGTACCTCTGTTGTGTACCTCTGTTGTGTACCTCTGTTGTGTACCTCTGTTGTGTACCTCTGTTGTGTACCTCTGAGTATGGTTTGTTTGCAATCGTCTCATTACGATTTCGTGAGTCTTGTACCATGTTATTGTACTGTTATTGTACTATGTTATTGTACTGTTATTGTACTATGTTATTGTACTGTTATTGTACTGTGTTATTGTACTGTTATTGTACTGTTATTGTACTGTTATTGTACTGTTATTGTACTGTTATTGTACTGTTATTGTACTGTTATTGTACTATGTTATTGTACTGTTATTGTACTATGTTATTGTACTGTTATTGTACTGTTATTGTACTGTGTTATTGTACTGTTATTGTACTGTTATTGTACTGTTATTGTACTATGTTATTGTACTGTTATTGTACTATGTTATTGTACTGTTATTGTACTATGTTATTGTACTGTTATTGTACTGTTATTGTACTATGTTATTGTACTGTTATTGTACTATGTTATTGTACTGTTATTGTACTATGTTATTGTACTGTTATTGTACTATGTTATTGTACTGTTATTGTACTATGTTATTGTACTGTTATTGTACTATGTTATTATTTATTTATTTATTTATTTATTAATTTGAACATGATACAGTGAAGTACAAAGGAATACAGTTATTACAGCACAACATACCAAAGCACCTTGTATGCAGAACATTATGGACAGCTTAAAATTAACTTAAGATTAACTAAGCAATGATATATTCAGTGGTAAACATTATAGTAAACAAATAACAATTAAGTACAAATAAGTATTACAAAGACAGTTCATATGGTCATTTACTGAGTTGCTGAGCATTCACTAGAATGGAGTATTCTGTTAGGTTATGTAATTAAAAAAAAAAAAAAGTTTGGGTCACAGGTTAGATATTTATGAGATACAATTTATTTATTTATTTTTTAATTTATTTAAATTTGAGACATCAGAGGTACAAACATACAGTAAGGCAGAATCCAAAATCTTAGTCTGCATAGCATTACGGGTGGCTAAAATTAACTTTAATTAACTAAATGTGAACATGAGAAAAACTTAAGTCAAAAAAATTCTAAACACAAAAAAGGGTATTACAAAGCAAGATATTGTGCATTCATTAGGTAGTGATTCTGTTAGGTAGTGTATTTAAAAATAATAAAGTTAATTGGGTTTTTATGTTTACTTAATGAAATATATGAGAACATTTAAGATATACAATTTTAAGGTTAGTATCTTATTTATTTGGTTTGGTAGTAAGTGATCTTTGAGAAGATTTAATTTATAAACAGGTAGTGTTTCTTTATATTCCAGGTAATAATTCCAGATTTTGGGCTTTATGTGCATTGAGTTTTGCATTGTGATGGGACCGAGGAATATCAAAGTATCTGTGGCCTTGTGTTAGGTCATGATTTCATGGACCTGTTGGACAGACGCCCCAACCCCGAGGAAGGGTTAAATCAGAGTTACAGTGTTCTCTGTATGAATAAGTGCATAAAAATTTGGAGTTTTGTAGTGCGTAGGTTAGGTTGAATTGGTGAGTGCTCCCTGAATGGTTTACAAGCCTGCAGCTTTTTGGGTATTAGTGAGAGGTTAGTTTGAGCCCCACAAATTCCATGTTAGGTGAGGAGAATAAGAGTGGTAGGCAGGAGGGCTGACTGTGGAGCCATAGTTACCGTCTTGCAGTATGCCTACTGGAAATTTTCTTAAAATTTGTTATATGTGTATGAAATTTGAGTCTATTATCGAGGTGGATTCCTAAGAATTTTCCCTCTTTAGCTTTTGATAGGTGATCCTTTATCTTATGTTAGAGGGACATCGTAGCTTGTTACCAAACTAATGAAGTAGATTTTGTCAATGTTTATGTAAGTTTGTTAGTCCTCATCCAGGTAGATATTTTCGTAATTCGGTATTTACATATTGGCTAGCGTGATGGGCTCGGGTGGGAGAAGACGTATGTAGTGTCATCTGCAAATAGTGTGGGTTTGAGTAATTGCGAAGCATTTGCTAGGTCATTTATGTTTAGAGAAAGAGAAGAGGGCCAAGGACACTTCCCTGTGGGGACACCAACTGTAATTGGTTGTGCAGAAGAGTTTGCCCCATTTGCGAACACATATTGGCTTCTGTTGCTGAGGTATGACTTGAGGTAGTTGAGGGAGTGCCCTCTTATACCATAGTGTGACAATTTTACGTGGAGCAAGTCATGGTCAACTGTATCAAAAGCTTTACGTAAGTCAATGAAGATCCCCAGTGGGACTTCTTTTTCTCTATTGCAGTGTATATATGTTCTAGCATGTGTATAATAGCATCATTAGTATTTTTATTAGGCCTGAATCCAAATTGGCAGGGGTTGAGTATGTTTTGGGAGATAAGGTAGGAGTAGATTCGTTTATGAATTAATTTTTCGAAGATTTTTGAGAGAGGGTGTAAGTTGGATATTGGCCTATAGTTATTCAACTCTGTTTGGTCTCCTCCTTTGTGAATCGGGGTGACCCTTGCTATTTTGAGTACTGTAGGGAAGGTGGAGGATTCAATGGATTTGTTAAAAGAGTGTTGCAATGATTGGTGATAGCACTTGTGACACTTTTTTGTATATAAAGGGTGGTAAGGTATTTAAATCTCCTGCCTTGTTTTTTAGTGCGTTGATAATAAGGGAGAAACATTTATGAGATACAATTTAGTTGTGGGTGAGTAAGTGATTTTTGAGAAGATATTGAATTTATAAACAGGTAGTGTTTCTTTTATATTCACAGGTAATGAATTCCAGATTTTAGGGCCTTTTATGTGCATTGAGTTTTTGCATAGTGTGCGATGGACACGAGGAACATCAAAGAGTGATCTGTGCCTTGTGTTATGGTCTGTATTTTGTTGAGGTTGGTACGAGTTTAAAGGAGGGAGGGAAAGATATCAGAGTTAAGTGTTCTAATGTATGTAGAGGTGCGTAATTAAGTATGGTGTTTTGTATGGTGAGTAGGTTAGAGTTTGAATATTGTGAGTGTGCTGCTGGGCTCTGGTGTCTGGTGTAACACTCTCGCTCTCCTCACTCGGCGAGGGCCTGGATTCGATTCCGCCAGAGTCCAACATTGGACATGTTCTTTACAACCAGTTGTCTATTTTCCCCATCAGTAAAATGGGTACTTGGGTGTTAGTCGACTTGTGTGGGTCGCATCCTGGGACACTGACCTAATTTGCCCGAAATGCGGAGTATAATAAGGGACTTTGTATGTAGTAGTATGTCATTGTTGTCAGCTAGGTCTGTATACCTTGTACATGTACTTGTAGTAAATAAAGATATTATTATTATTATTATTATTATTATTATTATTATTATTATTATTATGTAGTGGGAATTTGTTATCATTCTGACTGCAGCCTTTTGTTGGGTAATTAATGGTCTGAGATGGTTTATTGTTGTTGAGCCCCATGCACAAATTCCATAGGTGACATAGGGGTAAATAAGTGAGTGATATAGGGCCTGGAGGGCTGACTGTGGAACATAGTACCGTATCTTCGATAGTATGCCTACGGTCTTGGAATTTTTTTGGGAAATTTGTTGTATATGCGTTTGAAATTTGAGTCTATTATCAAGGTGAATTCCTAAGAATTTTCCCTCTGTGAGTTTTGTGATAGGTGATCCATTTATCATTATGTTAAGAGGGACATCTGTAGCTCTGTTACCAAACTGAATGAAGTAGGTTTTGTCAATGTTTAGACTAAGTTTGTTAGTCCTCATCCAGGTAGATATTTTCTGTAATTCAATATTTACAGTATTGGCTAGCGTGACTGGGCTCGGGTGAGAGAAGACGTGTAGTGTCATCTGCAAATAGTGTGGGTTTGAGTAGTTGCGATGCATTTGGTAGGTCATTTATGTATATGAGAAAGAGAAGAGGGCCAAGGACACTTCCCTGTGGGACACCAACTGTAATTGGCTGTGCGGAAGAGTTTGCCCCATTTGTGTACACATATTGGCTTCTGTTGCTGAGGTATGACTTTAGGTAGTTGAGTGAGTGCCCTCTTATATCATAGTGCGACAATTTTATGTGGAGCAAGCCATGGTCAACTGTATTTACGTAAGTCAATGAAGATCCCCAGTGGGACTTCTTTTTTCTCTATTGCAGTGTATATATGTTCTAGCATGTGTATAAAAGCATCATTAGTACTATTTTCATTAGGCCTGAACCCAAACTGACAGGGGTTGAATATGATGTGGGAGATTTTAGAGAGTGTAAGTTGGATATAGGCTGTTATAGTTCTGTTATTGTGCTATGTTATTGTACTATGTTATTATGCTGTGTTATTGTACTGGTTATTGTGCCATGTTATTGTGCTGTGTTATTGGCCGTGGACCGGGCCACGGGGGTATTCATCCCTGGAATACCCTCCAGTTAGACTCCAAGTTTGTTATTGCACTGGTTATTGTGCTGTTATTGTACTATGTTATTGTACTGGTTATTGTCAGGGCTGTGGAATTGACATATAAAAACCTTTGACTCCAACTCTGACTCCTTTATTTATAGCACTTCCGACTCCAACTCCTTTAATTATATATGATATAGGGAATAAATTAAAAATATACTAATTATATATTTGCTATATAGATTACAAGCATGCAACATACAAGCTTAGTAACCTGTTAAAGTTTGGCTCTAAATGCTATACCTGGAGTATACCTGGAGAGAGTTTTGGGGGTCAACGCCCCCACGGACCGGTCTGTGACCAGGCCTCATAGTGAATCAGAGCTATTCTCTTCTGGTCTTTAATTTTTATTTATTAAAGAAATTACAAACATTCAGTAACCTTACAGTTAAACAAAGGATAAAACTTGAAAAATGGAAACAATAAGGTTATTCTTTTATAAAAAGAATTTATAAAAAGAATTTCAAGTGTAAAGTCATAGGATGTAAGAGAAAAAAAGGTATAAAAGAATATTTGAGTTACAAACCTCTTTCTCTGCTAGTTAAGAAAATCTGAAGTACATCCTTTGATATTACTAAAAGGAATTCAAAGTTAAAACTACAATAAAAGCAAAAAGCAATTGAACACCTAAAACAACTTAATAAATAACCATTTTAAAAGGAATGAACACAATTAGGTACATAACGCTGCTGTGTAAGTGGGACCTGCCTCTATATAACTTAATGACTGTTTCATATTAATGTACACAATAATCATGTACAAACATACACAGCTTGTTATTAATTACTGTACTGGGAAAAGTATCTTATGCCAAATCTTTTTTTTTCTAGGGTAAAGACTCTCACAATGCCTCTCAATACAAAGGAGGTGCTGCATTTGGTCGAGCAGCTGTGTGAAGAGAAACAGCTGCGTGTAGCTGTTAGAGAGAGCGTCAAGGGAGGAATGTTGGCAGGAGGGACCACACTTATTGGTGGTCTTCTCGGTGGTCCCTTCGGTCTGGCACTGGGTATGTTTACCAGAGAATTACAGTATAATTCAAATTAAAATTTCTTTTTATACAGTACGAATAATACAGTTACAAGTATTAGAATATTGTTAAACACAAAATAAAGCCACTAGTATGCAGTGTATTTTGGGCAAACTAATTCTAATGCTTAAAGAATACTTAAGAACTAGACATAACCTATCAAGTAGGATTTCTTGTACAGCTAAGTACTGTTCTATGTACAATAAGAAAGGTAGCTAATGAACAAATGGTACAATTTTAAAACTATTGCTTATTTTTTCAGACTGACACACGTGCAACAACTGGGAATCATTGATAAAGATACCCAGTTGTTGCACGTGTGTCTTGCTCTTCAACGTGTCAATATTTATTATATACCATTTTCAACATAGCCTTATATTTATGGGAAAAGACTGAACACATAGGGGTTAAGTAAGTTTATTTAGGTACAGGTACATAGTACAGTTATCTTACATAGTGTAAATTACCCACCAAGATAACTAAAAAAAAGTCTAAGTGATTTATTTCCATTGGGGACCTTGTTATTTCTATTGGGGGCCTTGTTATTTTATTGGGGCCTTGTTATTTCTATTAAGGTCCTTGTTGTTTCTATTGGGGGCCTTGTTATTTCTATTGTGGTCCTTGTTATTTCTGTTGGGGGCCTTGTTATTTCCAGTGGGGTCATACAGTGCCTGGGGAATGAGAGAATGAGAGATAAATAAAGTTTAGGCTGAAGGTGGAAAGTGTATCTCCAAATTCTTGGATTAAGATCCATCCACTTGCTTCATGGCACCCCTTTTCCTCCCTCATTGAAGGTTCAGTAAGTAGGACTATTTATGGGTCTCATAAGTACATTAACTCCTTGATATACTGGACTAATATAATTTTATTTTATATTTATATTTATTCAGTTCGAGTGTTGCTTACAATTCCATGAGGCCTGGTCACAGACCGGGCTGCAGGGGCGTTGGCCTCCGAAACCCTCTCCAGGTATACTCCAGGTATATTATGGTATTAATAAGGAAGATTGTCCAAGTATCAGTTAAATCATAATAATGTTAAAAATAGGACTCCACTGGAAATAAATCACTTTGACTTGTTTGGGTTTCCCAGGTTCTCTACACATATGTTGCTATGTATGATAATCTGTGTAACTGTATTTGTGTATACCTGAATAAACTTTCTTATCCAAAAAACACTTAGGTAGTAATTCATTTTGCTGAAAAATTGATATTTTAATGGTGCATTTCATAATTTTCATTGAGTAATGGTGTGGATTATTTGTACTATGTCATCATTCTTCTGGCATGACAGCAATTGACTGAATGATGGTAAAGGGCTTCCTGTTTTTTTGGGTCACCCTACCTTAGTAGGAGGAAGTCTGTGTGTTAAAAAAAAGAGAGGGAATTAAAGCTGTGCCAAAAAATAGAAGTGATGGATGTGTGGGTTAATGAATCACCAACAGCAACAGCCTGGTTGACCAGGCAAATACCAGATGAGCCTGGCCTATGGCCTCCGGGAGTAGAAAAACTCTTGGAACTCTTCAAAGGTATACTGATGTTTGTAGTTTTTGTGCTGCATTCTTAAAAAAAAAAAAAAAATATGGGTGATGATTATCAGCCATCTTTTAGGTGGAGCTGTTGGAGGACTGACTGCAGCCTATCTATCTCAAGGTAAATTCAAGAGTGTAGTATCTATCATCAGACACGACCTGACTGCAGCACAACGACAACGCCTGGCAAATTCTGTTCATGTAAGTATATGCCTCTTTTTGTCTTACAGCTGTGGATTTTTTCTTGTAATTTTTATACAGTGCAGCCTCTCCTCACTTAGCAATGTATGTACTCGTTTACTGACGACTCAGACTTACGATAGGCTCTCTGACAGTATACATACCTAAATACAGTGGACCCCCACATAACGATTACCTCCAAATGCGACCAATTATGTAAGTGTATTTATGTAAGTGCTTTTGTACATGTATGTTTGGGGGTCTGAAATGGACTAATCTACTTCACAATATTCCTTATGGGAACAAATTCTGGTCAGTACTGGCACCTGAACATACTTCTGGAGTGAAAAAATATCGTTAACGGGGGTCCACTGTAATGTATATTAGAGCTGATTTCCTCTATTCTGTTTATTACAATATACAGTACACTACTGTATTAACATTTAAAAAGTACCAGAAATGTTATAAACCAGAAATGTTATAAAGGGTGCAAAGTGACATTAAAATAATATCAAAGATGATTGACAGAAACCTACCACCATTATAGTATGCTCCTCACTTAGTGACGAATTTGTTTACTGACATTGTCTTAGGAACGGAACTCCGTCGTTAAATGAGGAGAGGCTGTATGTCAAAATCACAGTGAAAAAATTATAGTGAAAATATTTTTAAAAGTCCTGGAGGACAAATTCATATCTGAAGGTAATATTCTTCCGAATCTTGGTGAGAGAGAATTTTGATTTTATATTTAAAAATTCCAATGAAAAAAATAAAATTGAGTATGTTTTAAAATATACATATAAATGGGGTAGTGCCTGAAATTGCAAATGACCATTTACAAACTTTCTGCTGTGATATGTCAAAGTAACATCAAAGTACCATATTTTATGGTGAACAAGATTCTCTGGTGTTGTGGATGCCCCCCAGTTCTGACTGGCAAAATTTAAAAAAAAAGATTAATGGTACATTGACTGCTAAGACGCTGGGTAAATTTTTGAAGCGCATTTCGATGCCATAAAATATGGTAACTCTGCTGTTGTTGATGTTCATGTTGATGTACAGTACCCATGATAAGCACTGCAAATTGTGTTGTATCGGCAGGTGCTTCAACATGGGGTACGGCCCAGCCTGGGTTGTCTGCTGACCAGCCCAAATGTAAAAAAAAAAAAAAAAAAAAATAGAATTTTACTCTTGATTTAACACCCTTTGAAGGGAAAGTTCCTTGATGCTGTTGAAGAGTGCTTAATCCAAGGAATCAGAGCTGCTCTCCCTTTCAGGGACCAAACCTGACTTCATACCCATTCCCTTCCCCAGGCTTTGTATGATCCATGTGGATTTGTTATAATGCTCTGCATAACAAGGGGCTTTCTATATAGTACAGGTCCACCATCACAAATCCAGCAATCAGTTATTCGGTTCCTTCAGTTATTCGGCACTAATTTTGGCTAGCATAATTTCAAATTTCCAGGGTCACCACACCAACCTGCTGGTACTGTTTGGTGGTGCTACTTGCTGCATAAGTTACTCCAATTTCTTTTTCTCCATTTATTGTTATAACCTGCTTACTTTTAGCCCTAGTCATGGTTCCAATGAATAAAAGAAATGCTTCTCATTATGTAAAGCACCTACACAGTACATTATCCATTAAAGATAAGGTTGCTTTGAAGCCAATGTCGGTTGCCATGAGCTCAGTCTCATGAAGCAGGAGAATATGCTTTATTATTAGGCTAATCGCAACACTGCAGTTTATTTGCCAATCACAATTGATCTAATATGACATAAGAAACAATATAAATAACATAAAACATGTTAAATCCTCCAGAATGAATAATATTTGGCATAACACCAAGCAGTTTGACGGAGGTATGAAGAGGATATGGTATACAAATACCATTCTCCTATATTAGAGAAAACGTAGTGTAGCACAGGGCTAACTGTGATATACACTCGTACTCCACCATAAACCTGAAACAAAAGTTATTTTCTCTGTATAGATTTTCACACATAGCAGCATATGTGTAGAGAACCTAGGATAATCCAAAAAGTCAATGTGGCTTATTTCTAGTACCTGGCTTGGGTTAGCCATATATGATTTTTGGCAAATATTCGATTCCCAGCCAGGGTAGAAACATTAGGCATGTTTCTTTACACCTGTTGTCTATGTTTACCAACAGTAAATGGGTACCTGGGTGTTAGCTGACTAGTGTGGGTGTTATCCTGGGGGACTGACCTAATTTTCTTGAAATACTCAGCATAACAAGCGGCTTTCTATACAGTAGTATGTCACTGATGTCAGCTAGGCCTGTATACCTTGTACATGTATGTGTAGTAAATAAAGATTATTATTTTTTTTTTTTATTTTATTTTATTATCACATGGTCGATTACCACCAGGTGTGGTTGTCCCTGAAAATGAAAAACTTTCACCAATAAGTCACTCCATCACTGTTCTTGCCAGAGGGCGCTTTACACTACGTTTTTAAACTGCATGACCATTTATCAACCCTCCTTCAGTATGGGCACTGTTACTTCCCATCTCAGGACTCAAGTTCTGGACCTGCCGTTTCCCTGAAATCCCTTCATAAATGTTAACTTTTGACTCACACTCCAACAGATGCAAATAGTTGCAGGATTATGGTGTAGGAGGTAGGATACTGAAAGCAGTGAAGAGTTTTTTCGAGGATAGTGAGGATCAAGTTAAAGTTGTAGTCTCGAGGGAAATTATCTTCCCCAGTAAAAAGTAGGACCTTAGACAAGGATGTGTGGATGTACCTCTCGTTGTTTATATTATTTATAGATGGGGATGTAAGAGAAGTATATTGCGAGGGTCTTGGCACGAGACATGGATTTTAAATTGATAAAGAATCAACACACAACAGTGGGAGTTGCCTCAGTTGCTCTTTGCTGATGACACTGCTATGGCTCTTGGGAGATTCTGAAGAGAAGTTGCAGAGATTGGTGGATGATTTTGGTTTAGGGTGTGCAAAGAAGAAAATTGAAAGTGAATAACAGGAAAGGCAGTTAAGTTACTTGAAGGATAACAAATAGATTAAGTGACTTGAAATTTTGGATATGAGTTGGAGGCAAGAGTATGTAGAGGAGGTGAATTTGATTCAGATAATTTGGTAGTGGACGTGTCAGGGATGGGTTAGAAGATTAGAGGAAAATCATCAGAATTGATGAGGGCCAAAAAGGCTGAGCTGTGGATGCACTAGGGTCTGTGGAGACTAAGTAATTTGTCTTGGAGGCAAAGGGGGAATGTATGAGAGTATAAGTCTTTACCAACGCTCTTATATGGTTGTAGAAGCAAAGGGTGATGAATGTTGAGCGTGGAGAACGGCTGGAGGCAGTGAGATATGTCATGTTGAGATCAATGTGTGTGTGAAATAATGCAGAGAATTCGTATGTTTGGAAGTTAGAATGAGGTTGCTGGATTCCAAAACTGTTTGTCCATGAGGCTGAGGTCAGGGTTTATGACTGGAATTCGACATGTGGGGAGAATGGAGCGAAACAGCAATAACTTCATGAGTTATCGTCTGTAGTGAACGAAGGCGGGCTAGGGTTCGGCTAGACATATGTTGAGGGATTTTGGGGGTTAAAGATGAATTTTGTTGTGTCGCAGAGGGCTTGAGCATATCCAGCAGGCATGCGTGAAGCGTGCTTGATAGGAGTTGAATGGCAAGACAAATGGTTTTTAATACTTGACGTGCTGTGGAGTGTTTAAACTAAAGCATTATTTTATTATAATGTATTATTACTTATCTATTATTATATTATTCCTTATGTAATTTTATTATATTATAAATAATTTTCTCGATTGTATGTTGGGTTAGCTGTTGTACAAACTGGGAACATGTGAGGATGGAAAGATAATTTAACATACTCACAGAAATGAACAGAAATCAGACATAAATACGGAGTTCACTTCTCAGCCCATTAGCGGGGCCCGATTAGCGGTATACATGAGCCCTAGCATAAAGATATTAATCCGTGCATGAGAGCTCTTTATGCGAAAATTATTGATTGGTACGGATGAAGTTTTTCCCATAAGAAATAATGGAACTCAAATTAATCCTGCCAAACCTACCCAAAAGTATGAAATAAAAATATTTTTACCACATGAAATATTAATTTTAATACATCACAAACTGAAAAGGCATAGCAGCAATTAAGAGGCTGTACCTGTTAATTGAAGCATGGTGAAATGATTGTGCGGAATGCTGGCAGTATCTGGACCATGAAATGCATCTTAATGAAATTTGAGGGGAAATCCGGCCAAATTCAAGTTAAGACTACATTAAGGATATGTGAAACTGCAGTCAAGGCTATTGCCCATGACGAGAATAGTCCTTATCAAACACACATCATTACTAAAGCTACATCATAGAAATAACTCGTACCCATGACACAATCAGACACCAGACTCCATCCCACTCATATATATTTGTCCATCTCTTCTCAACTACCCAAGGTCCTAGCCTCTATCACCCACTGGAAGACTAGTTCCACGCATCCACAACTCTGTTAGAAAACAGCACTTACCTATGTCCTTTCTAAATCTAAATTTATCCAACTTAAATCCATTATTCCTGGTTCTTACCTGGTTCAACACCTTGAGGTGTCAAGTCCTTTTCTGGGGTTACTTCCCTTCTTCTTTTAATGCCACTAGGACCAGCTTCAGAGTCACTGGACTTCTGTCGCACAAAAATATCTTCCATAGTGGCCTGTACCTCTCGTTCCTTTATGACTTCCCTAAAGTGTTTCACAACATTGTCAGTGTAATAGTCACCAGCACGGCTTGCAATAGCTGTGTGAGGGTGATTTTCATCCATAAAGGTTTGCACTTTCAGCCACATTGCACAGATTTCCTTAATCTTGTAGTAGACAACTTCTTTAATTCTCTCTCCCCTCCTCCGAACCAGTTTCCCCAGGTCTGGCCTCTTGCTGTTTAAGTTGATCTATCAACCATCAGTGGTTAGTTCTTCATTGTCCTCCTCCACCAACTCTTCCACATCATCCCACTAAAACCCCCAACCCCAAGGACTTCCCCAATTTCCACAATTGATTCCTCAACTGCATACTCCTCTCAGGGTTAGCCTCAAATCCTTCAAAAAACCCTTTGTTACACATTCTGGCCACAGTTTCTTCCAAGCAGAGTTCAAGGTCCTCTTAGTCACTCCCTCCCAACCTTACCATAAGGTTTACACCCAAATTTAGGATATTAAAGTGATCTCTCCAAAACTCTCTTAAGTCAGTTGAGTTTCTGAGGTCACTACAAAACACCTTTCAAAAAGAGCTTTTGTACAGTTTTTTTAAGTTTGCAATAACCTGCTGGGCATGGGCCCGCAGGAGAGGGTGGTATTAGGAGGCAAAAACTTCACCTTAAAAGAACTTTTGTCTCCATAAAGGGCGCTCTGCCAGTCTGTAGGATGACCAGGGCATTGTCTAAACCCAGGAGGCACTTAAGGTCTTAATTTCTTTTCAGTTAGGGTAATCTTTCACATTGGGGGCAAAAACCCTGGGGTAACCAGTCATAGAAAAAGTCCTAGTGACCCCTGCCTTACTGTTTGCCCTCCACAGCACACACAAAATTTTGCCTTGAGGATATTCTTTTGTCTGAACGCTCTGGGGGTTTCTGAGTGATACACTAATAAAGGCTTCACTTTTCAATCACCATAGCATTGGAACACATCAACAGAGTAAACCTGTCTTTCATAGGCTTATGTCCTGGGAGTGCCTTTTCCTCCTCAGTAATGTAGGTCCTGCTTGGCATTTTCTTCCAAAAACAGGCTGTTTTATCACAATTAAACACTTTTTCAGGGTTTCGTCCTTCACTTTCTATGTACTCCTTTAATTCCTGCACATATTTTTCAGCTGCTTTGTGGTCCGAACTGGCAGCCTCAACATGCCTTGTCACACTATGTATGCCACTACGCTTCTTAAATCTCTCAAACCAAAACCCTTTTCTGGCCTTAAATTCACTCACATCATCACTAGTTTCAGGCATTTTTTAATTAAATCCTGATGCAACTTCCCAGCCTTTCACTTATGATCACTTGAGAGATGCTATCTCCTGCTATCTGTTTTTCATTTATCCACACCAATAAGGTCTTCAACATCTTCCTCACTTGCGATCTCTGTTCGAAAACACAGTTGAACCTTTGGGAAGAACACTTCCTTGATTGCCTTTTTGTTGCCCACAATAGTAGTGATGGGTTTACTGGGTTTATTATACAACCTGGCCACTCGGAGACACGCACTCCACTTTCATACTTATCAATGATCCTTTCTTCATCTCTATAGTAATTCTCACCCTTATTCCTGTAGGGTTGGCACTAGAAGCTTTCTTGGAGCCCATGGTCACTTATTTTGCAGATAAAATCATCAAAAACACTGTAATAATACAAAATATTCCGATTGTATGCTTGGATGTTACCGCGGAGGCTGGCTGGTAAACAATGCCACCGGCGGAACATGTGAGGCTGGCTAAGGCTGCACATTAGACGCATCTCGGACGAGCAGAGTTGAGTGGATTTTTTAGCGGTATGCGAGGCAAAATCTTAGCGATAAAACGTATCGGTATGCGGATTTAACGTTATGTAAGGCCAACGGTATGCGGGGGTCCACTGTATTTTTGTATGGTTGTTATGGTTATATTGTCATTTTTTTGGTCTCATTTGATAGAATGAAAGATATATTACAGAAATAGATATGATTTTGATTGCTTTCATGACGAAAAGTATACCTTGAAATTGCGCTCACAGTAGCGAAAATGTTCTATTCTTTAGCGAAGCTCAAGAGTAAACAAATGATGTCACCGTCCAATACCTGTCTGCCTGCCAGTCCAAATTCCAGTACGGAGTCAAAAATGGCTTGACATTATTTGTACAATTATTACAATAATGCAACAGTCTGCATAACAGTAAATCTTCTATTTTTTTGTGAATAAAAATTCCAAATGAAAAGCAAGAGTAATATAAGAGGGGCCTGTAGCCGTGACTAATGAACAGAGAAAATGTTATTTTAGTGCCAGGAATGTCTGCACTGTTTATTCTGGATCCTATTTTGAAATTGGCATCTGTTGAAATTTGTGTGAAATCGGCCAAATTGCCAATTTCTGACTACTTTATTGGGTAGTTGAAATAAGTGAATGGGCAGTTTCTTGTACTCAGTTGACAGACTAGAAGTAAATAAGTTTATTCAGGTATACACAAATACAGTTACATAGATTATCATACATAGCAGTGTATGTATAGAGAACCTAGGATAACCCAGAAAAGTCAGACAAAGTGACTTATTTCCAGTACCTGGCTTAGGCTTGCCATATATGATTTTTGGTAAATATTTTTTTCTTCTCTGTTGTTTGTTGGGCTATCTCATTGAAACTTGGGCATTGTATGATGGAAAGATGCTTCTTAACGTACAACAAAAATAAAAAAGCCGCCGCTTTGCAGTGTATTTTCATATGGTTTTTATGGTTGTTTGTGTATTCTCATTTTTTTGGACTCATTTGATAGAATGGAAGGTATATTACAGAAATAGACATGATTTTGATTGCTTTCATGACGAAAAGTACCTTGAAATTGAGCTCAAAGTAGCAGAAATGTTTGATTTTTGCCGATGTTCAATGAACTGTGTAAGTCAAGTTGGTTAATTTTATTAAGTGTATTCTAACCTAACTACTCTGTAATCCGGCAAACTCAGTAATCCGGCACACTACAGGTCCCAGTGATGCCGGATTTGTGATGGAGGACCTGTAGTATGCCATTGATGTTAGCTAGGCATGTATACCTTGTACATGCACTTGTAGATATTATTATTATTATTATTATTATTATTATTATTATTATTATTATTATTATTATTATTATTATTATTATTATTATTATTATTCTTTCTTCTTTCAACACACCGGCCGTATCCCACCGAGGCAGGGTGGCCCAAAAGGAAAAATGAAAGTTTCTCCTTTTACATTTAGTAATATATACATGAGAAGGGGTTACTAGCCCCTTGCTCCTGGCATTTTAGTCACCTCTTACAACACGCATGGCTTACAGAGGAAGAAATCCGACCATCATGTAAAACAATTGCAGGCTTTCGTTTTACACTCACTTGGCTGGACGGTAGTACCTCCCTGGGCAGTTGCTGTCTACCAGCCTACTACCTATTATTATTATTATTATTATTATTATTATTATTATTATTATTATTATTATAGTGTCAACATGTTATCAGGTTTTTATATGCATGTGAAAGTGAGAAAAGGCTTTGTTTTGCTTTACAGCAGTAGCCTGGAACAAGCTGCTGTATAAGTGGGGCTCTCCTGTGTTCATGTAACATATTGTGTTTGCACATCTCAGATGCCAGCACTGAATGTACATAATTTGTTTGATTTTCATTACTTTCTTAAAATACAATTTTCATCCCATCATATTAAATATTTGTAGAAATTGTTTGCACAGGTTTAATCTCTGCCACATTAATGCTGTTAGAAGTGTTTGGTTAGTGGTGGAAATCTGTGCATCTAGATTTTTCTGTAGGAATAATGTTGGTGTGAATTAAGAGACTTACTCTAGTCAGTGTTGTTGTTATTATTTGGGTGAGTTGATTGAAGTTTTAGTGGGGGCTTCAGACTCCTCCCCTTCATTTCCACCCCTTGGGTAGCTCTAGTTCCTCGGATCAGGAGGATCTTGCTGGCATCAAAGACTACCCCCTTCATAAGTTTAATAGATGTACAGGTGCTCCTCAATTTACATTTCGATGAACCCATCATAAGTTGAAAATATAAGTCGAATATGAATACATGATACATGCGATAAATAAATAAGTGAATAAATAACTTCTGTCACTAAATAAGTAAACAAATAATTACTGTAACTAAATAACAATATTGAAAAGTAAATAATTGAACATAAGTGTATCCTATCAATAAATGTACAGTAGTGTACAGTATTTAATGATGGTGATATTGATGATATTAGAACTTTATGATCATGCTATTGCACGGTTGTAAAATCAAAATATCATAAGTCGAACCATTGTAAAGTGAGGAGCATCTGTAGCTTGGTGGTTTTATCCCAATGTTAGCGTGGTGTGTTGTTTCCAGATGTTCCTGCAAAGTTGGTCAATAAAGGATGTGGCTGAAGCGTCAAGGCTCTTACTGAGCCCCACAGCCAAGGCTATACTTCTCCAAATCGCTCTCCAGTTTGTCATTGCTGCTGTTGGCATTATTTTCCGGAAAAGTCAAGAGAAAAGGAAGGTGAAGAGGCTGGAAAGTTCACCTTCCTCCTCCAGGATATAATTGTGATTAACCTGAAGGACCTGCCTTTGAAGAATGTTTAAAGTTTACATTACAACTTAATGTAGAAGGATATACATATACACTCCAAGAGGTGTATATCTTAATGTATATATGTTGAGAATTTACTCTAATCCTTAGTTTAGAGATTAACATAGTTTCTCCAGTAACTGTGTAATGTACATAAGAGGGACATAACAATGAGTACATGTATTGAATTTCAAAAGCAATGAATTTTGTTGTGGATTTATGCTATATTCTTTCATGGACAGTATTATATTCAGTGTTAAATACTAAACCCATAAGAGCCATACAGCATCTGGGAAGTGGTGGATGATAACATTTGATCTGAGGAAGGAAAGGGTATTTTTAATTTCTTGGATCAAAAGCCCTCCACTAGCATCAAGACCCACCCTTGAAATGACTCGTGTATAGTTTCTGGCTCCTCTAATGAGCTTTATTAATGGGTATGTATCTGTTACTAAAGAGAAAGAAATTTAATTCTCTCATATGACCCATGAAGCTGTCAACTTTCACCTTGCCTTATACTGAACAAAAGATATACAGTGGACCCCCGCTTAACGATCACCTCCCAATGCGACCAATTATGTAAGTGCGTTTGTACGTGTATGTTTGTGGGTCTGAAATGGACTAATCTACTTCACAATATTCCTTATGGGAACAAATTCGGTCAGTACTGGCACCTGAACATACTTCTGGAATGAAAAAATATCATTAACCGGGGGTCCACTGTATATAAGCCTTGTACTGAACAAAAGATATATATATGCCTTGTACTGAACAAAAGATATATAAGCCTTGTCCTCAACAAAAGATATATAAGCCTTGCATTGGACAAAAGATATAGATAAGCCCTGTACTAAAAAAAAAATAGAGAAGATTAGTGCTGGCAAAAAATACTGCAGACTCTGGAGTCCAGAGTCACTGTGGACAAGATCATCAACAAAGCCTCCACTGGATGGAAGTTTTTCTTGGTGGACAGTTACCAAGATCAACCCTGCATAGTTTGGTGAGTAATGCTTCTACATGTTGTCTGCAATATTGCAGCCTCACCTCCTAAAAGAGTGTCAGGTTGTTACAGTGACTCAGTTATCAGCAAAACTTCTTTGACATTAAATGTGAAAGTCAGGATTTTATTGTCTTGCTTCCTCAGTCTTTTTGGCATTTTCCCTCTTTCTGTTTGTGTATCAAAACAAACTTTTCTTTATGCATTATTGCTGTTATTAGATTTATTTATTTTTTTAATACTGGCCATCTCCCACCCAGGCAGGGTGACCTGAAAAAGAAGAAACTGTTTCATAACGTTTTTCTCCTTTATACATTTAGTAATTTATACAGGAAGTTTTTAATTCATGTTAAGCACTAAAATCATTTGAGTCATTCAGCACAAGATGTGGTGGAAGCTTGATCCACTTGTCTGCAGAGCAGAAGGGGGGTTACTAGCCCCTTGCTTCCAGCATGTTAGTCACTTCTTACAATACGCATGGCTTACGGAGGAAGAATTCTTTTCCACTTCCCCATAGAGAGCAGTATATATATATATATATATAATATATATATATATATATATATATATATATATATATATATATATATATTATATATATATATATATATATATATAATTATTATAATATATATATATATTATTATATATATATATTATATATATATATTATATATATATATTAGATATATATATTATATATATATATATTATATATATATATATGTCGTGCCGAATGTGTAAAACTGGTCAATTAGCAAGAACTCATTTAAAATTAAGTCCTTTCTGAAATTTTCTCTTATACGTTTAAAGATATATTTTTTTCATTAATGTTAATGTAAAAATTTTTAATTTTGCACCAAAAGAATCTTAGAAAACTTACCTAACCTTATTATAACAAGAACAATTTATTTTAGCCTAACCTAACTAAATATATTTTAAATACGTTTACAATAATTTCACACTGAACAAACACAATCAAATATATTTTTTCCGTTAGGTTCAGAATGATTTTGGCGAAATTATTGCATACACAAATTTTCACTTGTCCTATATGGCAAGATGAACGTTGCTATTTAAGCCAAGATCGCAAATTCTGCCTATTCGGCACGACATATATATATATTATATATATATATATATATATTATATATATATATATATATATATATATTATATATATATATATATATATATTATATATATATAATATATATATATATATATATATATATATATATATATATATATATATATATATATTATATATATATATATATAATATATATATTTTTTTTTTTTTTTTTTTTCAACAAACCGGCCGTATCCCACCAAGGCAGGGTGGCCCAAAAAGAAAAACGAAAGTTTCTCTTTTTAAATTTAGTAATTTATACGGGAGAAGGGGTTACTAGCCCCTTGCTCCTGGCATTTAGTCGCCTCTTACAACACGCATGGCTTACGGAGGAAGAATTCTGTTCCACTTCCCCATGGAGATAAGAGGAAATAAACAACAACAAGAACTAGAAAGAAAATAGAAGAAAACCCAGAGGGATGTGTATATATACATATATATGCTTGTACATGCATGTGTAGTGTGACCTAAGTGTAAGTAGAAGTAGCAAGACGTACCTGAAATCTTGCATATATATACAGTGGACCCCCGCATAACGATGGCATCACATAGCGATTTTTCCGCATACCGATTACTTTTATCGCAAAATTTTTGCCGCGCATACCGATTAAAAACCCGCTTACCGATTTTCGTCCGAGACGCGTCCAATGTGCCCTCAGCCAGCCTCACATGTGCCGGCCGTCCCATTGTTTACCAGCCAGCCTCCGCGGTAACATCCAAGCATACACTCGGAATATTTCGTATTATTACAGTGTTTTCGGTGCTGTTTCTGGAAAATAAGTGACCATGGGCCCCAAGAAAGCTTCTAGTGCCAACCCTGTGGTAAAAAGGGTGAGAATTAGTATGGAAATTAAGAAAGATTTTGAAGGGTTTGGGGCTAACCCTGAGAAGCCTATGCCCGTTGTGGGAAACCATTGTGCCTACTTCAAAGATTAAGGAAATGTGTGCACAGTGGGTTGAACTGCAAACCTTCATAGATGAAAATCACCCTGACACAGCTGTTGCAAGCCGTGCTGGTGACTATTTCAATGACAATGTTGTGGCCCATTTTAGACAAATCGTAAAGGAACGGGAGGTACAGAGCTCTATGGACAGATTTGTTGTGCGACAGAGGTCCAGTGACTCTCAAGCGGTCCTAGTGGCATTAAAAGAAGAAGGGAAGTAACCCCGGAAAAGGACTTGCTACCTCAAGTCGTTATGGAAGGGGATTCCCCTTCTAAACAGTAAGAAATATGCTCTCCCCTCCTCCCATCCCATCAATCATCACCAGATCTTCAATAAAAGTAATGTCATTTAATTGTGCATGCCTTTTTCAGTTTGTGTGTATTAAAATTAACATTTCATGTGGTAAAAAAAATTTTTTTTTATACTTTTGGGCGTCTTGCACGGATTAATTTGATTTCCATTATTTCTTATGGGGAAAATTCATTCGCATAACGATTATTTCGCATAACGATGAGCCCTCTTGCACGGATTAAAATCGTTAACCGGGGGTCCACTGTATATCTTTCTTTCTTTCAACACACCAGCCGTATCCCACCGAGGCGGGGTGGCCCAAAAGGAAAAACAAAAGTTTCTCCCTTCACATTTAGTAATATATACAGGAGAAGAGGTTACTAGCCCCCCGCTCCCGGCATTTTAGTCGCCTCCTACAACACGCATGGCCTACGGAGGAAGAATTCTGTTCCACTTCCCCATGGAGATAAGAGGAAATAAACAAGAATAAGAACTAGAAAGAAAATAGAAGAAAACCCAGAGGGGTGTGTATATATGTGCTTGTACATGTATGTGTAGTGTGACCTAAGTGTAAGTAGAAGTAGCAAGACGTACCTGAAATCTTGCATGTTCATGAGACAGAAAAAAGGACACCAGCAATCCTACCATCATGTAAAACAATTACAGGCTTTCGTTTTACACTCACTTGGCAGGACGTGAGTGTAAAACGAAAGCCTGTAATTGTTTTACATGATGGTAGGATTGCTGGTGTCTTTTGTCTGTCTCATAAATATGCAAGATTACAGGTACGTCTTGCTACTTCTACTACACTTAGGTCACACTACACATACATGTACACGTTTATTTATACACACTCGTCTGAGTTTTCTTGGATTTTATCTTAATAGTTCTTGGTCTTATTACTTTTCCTTTTATATCCATGGGGAAATGGAATAAGAATCTTTCCTCCGTAAGCCATGCGTGTTGTAAAAACAACTAAAATTTCCCGGGGAACAATGGGCTAGTAACCCCTTTTCCTGTAAAGATTACTAAAAAGAATAAGAAGAAAATTGTCAAAGTGGGAAGTCTGAATGTGCTGGATGTTTGTGCAAATGATAAGAAAGAGATGATTGTGGATGTTATGAATGAGAAGAAACTGGATGTCCTGGCTTTAAGTAAAAACAAAGCTGAAGGGGGGGGGAGAATTTCAGTGGAGGGGAAAATAAAGGGATTAGGTCGGGGGTTTCAAATAGAGTTAAGAGCTAAAGAAGGAGTAGCAATAATGTTGAAGGAAAGCTATGGCATGAAAAGAGGGACTATAAATGTATTAATTCAAGGTTTAAATGTGGAGTAAAATAAAGATTGGATGTGAAAAGTGGGTTATAGTAAGTGTGTATCCCACCTGGAGAAGAGATAAGTGTAAGGAGAGAGAGAGATTCGGGGAAATGTTGAGTGAATGCGGGGGGAGTTTTTGAATCAAGTGTGAGAGAGTAATGGTGGTTGGGGATTCAATCTAAAGTGGGTAAAAATGTTATGGAGGGAGTAGTAGGAAAATTTTGGGGGTGCCGGGGGTAAATGTAAAGGGGGAGCTTTTAATTGAGCTATGTGTAGAAAGAAATTTGGTAATAAGTAATACATATTTATGAAAAAGGATAAATAAATATACAAAAGGGATGATGTAGCACGTAATGAAAGTAGTTTGTTAGATTTTGTATTGGTGGACAAAAGGTTGATGGGTAGGCTCCAGGATGTACATGTTATAGAGGGGCAACTGATAATCAGATTTATTATTTAGTTGTAGCTACAGTTAAAGGGAAGAGGGAGATGGAAAAGAGGAAGGGGGCAACAACAAGAGAGGGAGGTGAAAGTGTATAAACTAAAAGGGGGGAGGAAGTTCGGGCGAGATATAAGCGCTATTGGCAGAAAAAGGGGGGCTAGTGCAAAGATGAGTAGTGGGGGGGTTGAAAAGGGTTGGAATAGTTTTAAAAATGCAGTATTAGAATGCGGGGCAGAAGTTTGTGGTTATAGGAGGGTGGGGGGAGGGGGAAAGAGGAGTGATTGGTGGAATGATGAAGTAAAGTGTGGATAAAAGAGAAAAAGGTAGCTTACGAGAGGTTTTTTACAAAGCAGAAGTGTTATAAGAAGAGCAGAGTATATGGAGAGAAAAGAAAGGTGAAGAGAGTGGTGAGAGAGGCAAAAGGAGAGCAAATGAAAGAGTGGGAGAGGCACTGTCAAAAAATTTTTTAAAGAAAATAAGAAAAAAATTTTGGAGTGAGTTAAACAAGTTAAGAAAACCTAGGGAAATAAAGGATTTGTCAGTTAAAAACAGAGTAGGGAGTTAGTAGATGGGGAGAGGGGTATTAGGTAGATGCGAGAATATTTGAGGAACTTTTTAAATGTTGAGGAAGAAAGGGAGGCGGTAATTTCATGCACTGGCCAGGGGGGTATAACCATCTTTTAGGAGTGAAGAAGAGCAGAATGTAAGTGGGTGGAGGTACGTGAGGCATTACGTAGAATGAAAGGGGGTAAAGCAGCTGGAACTGATGGGATCATGACAGAAATGTTAAAAGCAGGGGGGATATAGTGTTGGAGTGGTTGGTACTTTTGTTTAATAAAAGATGAAAGAGGGGAAGGTACCTAGG